CTGGCTCTCTAGGGTGTAATGTCGTTCTGTAATTTCTGGGTGTAATGTCATTAAATAGTGGATATTAAAGCATTTAATAAATTAGGAATGGGGGTACTGTTTTGACCTTTAGCTATACTGTGCAAACTGTAAGGCCAGTGCTGGAAAGTGGAAACCTCAGTCCGGCTGAATGTATCCAGAATAAAAACGCAGGCTTGCTCTATGCAGAGCACTCCTAAGACTCCAAAGTGTAGTAGGGAAAATCACGCATCAAGGAACCCGTTTTTCAGCAGCCTGGCAACCTCCGCTGCCTCCATCTACCTTTCCCCCCACACTAGAATATTCAGCCGAAAGAATTGGAGTAGCAGATGTGATAACACAATGGCATTGCCCAGTGCTAAATTAAATAGAAACCACTGAGCATAAGGCAGTGATAGACTCACCACTTAGTGAATCTGCCCAATGGGTTGATGAAAAATAAACATTTGTTTGTCTCATGGCGACTTTTCCTCTGCTGAGTGGCTCACGCTGTTTGCAGGCTGGTGTTCAAAAGTCAGCCAAGCTGAATTGCGTAGGTACCACCTTGACCATACAATGGTTGCTTCACATTGCTTATTTGCCTCTCCTAAGCCACAGGTCTGATCTTCATCTTCCATTCAGGACTAGCTGCCAGCAGTATTGAAGGGCTGGCAAAACCAAGCAAGGTGCGTGTGGCTATCTCTGGGAGCAAGTAAAGCCCCAGACATGCAAAGATGCAATCCTCAGAACCACAGTTACCACTGCCCTTCAGCTCTTTCTGTAGAAAAGAGCTGCATTTAAAGAGCTGCTGTTCTGTGAAGTCCTGAGCACAGACTCGCCATTGTACATTTACCCAGAAGTAAGTCCTCATGATTCAGTGGGGTTTATTCTCAGACTCTGAACTAAAATAATATTGCCACACCGTACAGGAGGGTCGCAGCTGTAATTGATCTGGGGCACATCATGCTTTGAACATTTCTAAAGCATAAAGGGGAAAGTGTTGCTATGTAACAAGGTTATAATCCATAGGGGTAATACGTTTGCATGATCAAATCTCATCACAAGGCTCAGAGGAAGAAAGATTTCTCTAATTCTTCTTAGAATTACTTGTTCCTTAAATGAAGGCTCACTGGGTGAAGCAGAGGGTGAAAACTACATGAAAAACTTTCCCTGAAAATTCACAGTGTACATCCAATTTTATCTCTATTTTTGAACTGTCTGTGGGCGCATTTATGTGTGCCTCTAGTTTTTCTTTGTTGTGGCTTTTGAGCATTTTAATTTAAAAGTGGAAACTTAAGATTCAGGGCCAACCTGAATAACTGTCTAATTCCCCAACTGCATACAACAGCCTTCTGAAATATGGATGTTATATTAGTTGCATCATTCAAATGTTGCAACTCAATTAGTATCCCAGATGAAACCAACATTGGCATTGCATTATCTTTCATTCCAAAGCAGTCCCTTATCTTATATTTAGCATTTTTGAGACAAGGTTTGCTAGAAAACAGAAGGAAAGGGAAAATATGGAGAACCTCATTTCCATATAAATCACTCTTTCCCTTCTTTCTGGTAGCAGCATCACCTTGAGGTTTGCGTGCAAAGTCCAGGTTTAAAAAGAAATGCAACATAATAGAATGGATTGGCTAGGCAATTGGTGCCACATGCAAAATGCCAACAGTATTGCTTATTACCTGGAGCCTATGAATTGGCATTTAAGATACACAATGGATGGGAAATTGTTTTGACTTTTAAAGCCACATTAGTTGCATTATACTTTTTGTTTTCCCTTTCCCCACTGATTTCAACAGAGACTCATCCAATCTTCTTTTGCTTACAACACTGGTGTTTTCTATCCACTGCAGCCCTTGCATGACTCCCCATGGGCACTGTGCCAGGCAGCTTTCCAGCAGACTGGACTAATACGAAGCTGGAAATGAAGGCTCTTTTACACCCCTCCAGTTTTGATCTTTTGCATTAACTTAGATTGAAAATGAATGGGGTTGAATTTGTTTTATCTTACCTTTTTCAAATAAATGAGCATCCCTAATTGGCTCAGAGTGCTCTGTGTAAGCGCACTTGCAATAAGAATGCAAGGATTGCCTTGTTTAATCAAAACAAGACCAGATGCCCCAGGAAAGCACATAGGAAAGTCATGATGGAGGTAGTCATCCACTGTTTTTTTCCCCTTAACACCAGATGGTCATAGCTATATAGGGCCTCTGAATGTGGGTGATAGGTGTATAAATGAATACACTGCATGGATCTGACTCCTCTTCAAAGCAGGTGTGCAAAAAGCGTGCACATGCGCTCACACAGACCTGTCTGGCACCACCTTGGACCCCTACCCCAAAATAAGCCAAGGGGAAATACTCTAGCAATATTCTTCCCATAGCAGCTTCATTCCTAGGTCGCTCTAGGAAGCAGTGCTCGAAGGATCCCACTGGTTTCCAAGAATGCTCTAGGAATGGTACTTGCATGGCGAGAAGTATAAAACCTGTTCCCAGTGTGGTTTTCCCCTTCTTTTTTCCCTTTCCACCCGCTGCCCTGCAACCCCCTTTGTACATTAGCCCTATTACATTGGCATTCATCCATTGGCCCTGACACCCTGCAGTTCTCATAGGGCCCTGGGTGCCAGAGGAATTTACAGCATGTTACTGGATGGTTTTGAGCTGTCCTGCTGTGCACCACAGCCTCTGGTTTAGCAAAACCTTTGATTTCTGAAAGAAATTCTTTTTGAAATCAAGTATGACTGCACTGGACTCCCAAATTGCTTATAAACTGAATTTGATAGAACTGTGGCTTCCATCTCATGCCAACCTCACAGATCCGCTCCAAACCAGCACCTTTTAATGACCTTTTCAAGGACTTGCAAAGTGAATTAAAGGTAAAATCGGGAAAGACGAAGATATTGATTGGGGTTAAGCAAATGTGGATTAACCTCTGAAATGGGTGCTAAAATTACAAGCTTGTCTTGGACTTGGGAAGGAAGAGTCCTTATTTTAAAAGAACCATACAGTCCCTGAAGAGAATTTTCAATTCACCAAATAACATACGGAAAGGATAGCAAAATGGAGTGAACAGAAAGATGTTCCACATGCATTTCCTTTTGGGTGCTTCTATTTATTTTTCAAATAAATGATTCTAGGCCACCTTTCAGGAAAGAAGCTGCCCCAAGATGGGTTATAGCAATCAAAATCATATAAAAATGGATACAGTAATAATATAGCAAACATTCATAAAAACAGGCACTAGCACAAGAGAAAACGTATGGTACAATTTCAGCTAGAACACAGAATGGTTCAAACAAACATAATCAAGGGAATGCATTGTCCAAATCAAGTTAATGATGCATTAGTTCTGGATCAGGAAGGAGTGATGCCTTGAATGGCTATGCCAGACATGTGATACGGTACTTGATCTTGGTCATGGATGACTTACATTTTGCAAACCTGAGTCAATTTTCGAAACTATTGCCAAGACCCGTCAAGCTAATATCATCAATAGCATTTCATGTTGGGAAAATGACTTGAGACCAACTTATTGGTTAAGCAACAAATTCAAGACAGAAAGGCACAATTTTCTTCTTGTACATTTATCCACTGGCAGTCTGTGTTGGCTTGGTAGCTTAGCAGTAGCGAGAGACAGAACTGTTTTATACTCTAGAAATCTGACATGTTTTCAAGAATAACTTCATTCTGAAGTTCACTCATTCAGTTTGCACCTTTTTAAAAAGTCCTCATGGAAATAGTGTTTTTGTATGCCTTTCCCCTTAATATGCAGGTATTAGGTTGCCCATTATCAGTTAGTGGACAAGCACGTAGGTCACCTGGTCACCATGATCTCTACTATGGACAGCTGTATTGTATTTCTATTTAGATTGTGGTTATTACTCCTAAATGTGAAACTGTGCAAATGTTGTGCAGAGCTCTGGTGCTCTTTTTGGTGATGCAGGTCCTCTTTTTTGGCAGTGCTTAAGGGGTTGCTCTTCCCACTGGGGGAGAGGGTGTCAGCTGCCATGAGCGCTGGCGTTTGCCCCACCAGGCCAAGTGCCCATGAGGGGGCTGTGCTTGCATCCGTGTGTGCATGGATCTGAAGCAGCTTAGCCTGTCTCGAGCATCTAATGAAGTAGCTGAGAGGATGAACTAGGAGCTGGAAAAGCCTTGTGCAAAGCTGGCCTCAGCCAAAAACTTGGAAGGTGTTGTCAGGGAAGCCGCTATTCTGAGTAGGGTTGGGACAACCCCATTTGCAATCCACCCCTCCAGAATTTGCAGACATCCTCTTGTGCTCAGCCTGCTTCTGCAAAGCAAGCCAAGTCGAGAGGAAGCCTGCGAATGCTCACGGACCCTCGGTCACAGAACCAGCAACCTTCCCGAGACGCCATCCCTGGTGGCCAGTCTTCTTCTGCTCACTGCTGCTGGCAGCAGCGGTGGGCACAGAAGAACGGTGTGACTTGCCATTCCTGGTGAATGCCCCATCTGCTGGATCTCCTCACCAGGACCTCCGAGTCTGGGTTGCTACAAAGCAGAGCAGTGTCCAGGAAGCCAAAAGCAGAGAATCCAGCAGATTTTCTGCCCAAAATGCAGCAGGGTTTCTGCCCTCACATGTCCCTAATGCTGACAGCCATAGAGCTTGGCCCCTGTTAAGCAACAGCCTATTTTGTCTGTTGTTCACTGTGCAGGATTTCTATGAGCCCAACTTGGAGATGCCACAGACCTGCCCTAGGAGCCATGAGGCTAATGGGGTGGGATAAATAAACGAACAAGCTGCAGGGGCATGTGCTCTGTCCCTCAGCCAGAGCCCTTCTCCAATCTTGAGGGTGACCCTGCCAGTCCGCTTACCTATGGAGAGGCTGAACCAACGATGGAGAGATCGTTTGAGAGGCCTTTGAAAGACTTGAAATGCACCATTTAACTCCTAAGGATTAATCCATGTACGGGAGGACGGGAGGAAATAGCACCACACAGAAAGGATGCTGAAGCTTTTTCCTCTTCTTCCTATTTTAGGAAGGAAGTTTGTGGCCTTCGGAAAGCACAGTGTCAGGAAATGGTGTAGCAGAGGTGAGCAGCTGCATCCAATTATAGGACAAAGCACAGCTTCTTGAAGGGCACACGAAACATGAAGTGACACCTTTCTCTTTTCTCTTCTCTTCTCTTCTCTTCTCTTCTCTTCTCTTCTCTTCTCTTCTCTTCCCTTCTCTTCCCTTCCCTTCCCTTCCCTTCCCTTCCCTTCCCTTCCCTTCCCTTCCCTTCCCTTCCCTCTCCAGCAGCAGGTCTACACGTCGAGACCTACCGACAGACTCACTGTCCCATCCTTCTTGCAGAGGGACCGCTTTAACAGGTTCCAGCCAACATATCCTTACATGCAGCATGAAATCGACCTGCCGCCCACCATCTCCCTGTCTGATGGAGAAGAGCCCCCTCCTTACCAGGGGCCTTGCACGCTGCAGCTCCGGGACCCAGAACAGCAAATGGAACTGAACCGGGAGTCAGTCCGAGCACCTCCCAACAGAACCATCTTTGACAGTGACCTGATGGATAACTCAGTCTATGGGGGCCCCTGCCCTCCGAGCAGCAACTCGGGCATCAGCGCCACCTGCTATGGCAGCAACGGCAGGATGGAGGGGCCGCCCCCCACGTACAGTGAGGTGATCGGCCATTTCCCGGGCTCGACATTTTACCAGCACCAGCAGAACAACAGTGGGATGTCCTCGATACTCGAGGGGGGCAGACTCCATTCCTCTTCACAAATCAGTAGCCTCGAGAGCACAATGGCATGGAACAAAGATAAAGAGAAGCAAAAAGGGCACCCCTTTTAAAAAGAAAACAGAAAAGAATGGAATAGAACACTCTGCACTTCTTGTTCATGGGTATGGGGGAGAGATGTCGAGCGACGGGGAAGCAGTGTACGAAGCAAAGCACCCTTCTCCACCTCTGTGTAGTATAAATATTTACATGTTATGTTTGGTTTGAATGCACAAGCCAACAAAGCCTGCAAAAACATTTCTTTGTTGAGCTCTGTCTAGAAGTTTTTTTTTTTTTTAAAGAAATCTTCAGCGGTCCTTTTATCCCGTCCCCCTAGTTTTGTTTCCAGTTGAGCTGCGTGTGTGAATGCTACAAGTTTTTTTTTTTTTTGTTATTTCACTTAACTTTAAAGAAAAAAATATTTGCACAAAAACGTTTGTTTAAAGATCTGCAATATATATATAAATATATATTAAAAATAAGAGAAACTGTATGTGTGTTGGGGAAGCAGGAGTATTTTTATATTAGAAGAGGCCTATTGAGAAAAAAAGTTTTTGTTGTGTTTTTTCTGAACTAGAATAAAAACATGGCAATTTTTGAGAGCCAACTCAAAAAAGCATGTATTACATTGTAAAAAAAAGAGAGAAACAAAAAAATTAAAAAAACAAGCAGGGGTTTAGAGTTATTTATATAAATGTTGAAATTTTGCACTATTTTTTAATAGAAATGTGTAAGTGCTTGTGTTGGTCAAAAACCTCTTGTCATGTCTACCACAAAACTGTTAAGGGAAATATGTTGAAGTGAAGACTAAAAAGGATCGCGAGGGGAGGGAACACCTGTAAGCCTGAAATCACAGACCGGTAAGGAACATCATGTACGGACCTGCATCTTGTGCAATCTTATTTACTCTCCAGAGTCACATGAGCATGTCTCCAACCTGAAGTAGTTCTATTCCACCTGCTGCAGGTATAGTCAGATACCTGTAAAGATAGCCAATTACAAAATTTACGTGTACTGCATTTGTTGTGAAGGGTGTGTGTGTGTGTATGTGTGTGTAGAATACCCCTTTTCTTATTTAAAATAGAAAAAGCTATTATATCGAATTCCTATTTCTCTCTCTCTTTCTCTGTGTGCAGCATGCGTGTGAGTGAGACGGTGGGGGCGGGTTAAAAAGAGGGGGGGCTATTTATCTATATGTGTATGCACACTTCCCAAATGACACGGTGCCTGTATATTTTGTTTTCTTCTGTTTTGCACTTGGGTGTCTGTTCCCAAGGTCATCATGCAGCACAAGAATCCACTCTTGTACATTCCCTGTGAAATCAAAATTTGGGGTACTTCCAGGCCAATATTCCCTCTCTCTCTCTCTCTTTCTGGGTGGGGAAGAGGGAAAAGAATGGAAGAAATAATGAGGAGAGGCAGGAGAGTTACAAATGGAAGGCAATGTTTTCTTCTGTGCTCCCACCTGCTGTCAAATCTGTGCTTGATGCAGGGTGCTGGAAGAATAACATCTTAGTCTGGAAGCACCCCAATTTTTTTCTTTTTCTTCACTTGATGCTGCAAAAATCATCATGAAAGGTTTTTACATCCAAGGCCTGTTTAGTTCTGATGAATGGAGCTATGCCTACGGAAGGAGTTCCACGTTCACTCCTGTGCTGGTGACAGCTCAGCTCCTCCTGCTGAATTGAAATTGAAATGAATGTGTCAGCTTTCCCCAGCCGGGTGCTTGGGACTGCAACTCCCCTTGCTCCCAGCCAGCGTGGCCAGTTTCAGTCCAGAACATCTGGAGGGGACCAGGGTATAGAAGGATGCTGTGTTGTGTTTGTGCAACAGAGTTTTGCAGGACCAAGCTTCATGGGAGGCAATTATAACAGCCCTTTCTCTTGCAGCCATCTCACTGATTTTAGGAGGACCATAAAAGCATAAGCAGTCATTAAATTGCCTTATTTTTAATGACTAGTTGATGGCTTCTAATTGTCTTCATCATCATCATCTTTTTTAATATCATGCTAATTTAATTCTCTTCAGTTAAGGTAATAAAACTCTCCAAGACCCCATAAACCTGACTTACTGGTCAGTTTTTAAATAACACCCCTGGCAAACCTGTTTTGGGGCAACACTGTTTTCAATCCAGTTTTAAAAGATCGTCAATGAAGGTTGACCAGATGGTGAAGACTGACCAGACGGCTCCTGGGCCCTCTAATACTTACGTAGAAAAGGTGGAGAGGAATAGCAAGCGCAATTTGTTCTGCAGGACCTGAGATACATGTTGTCCTCTTTTTTTTCACAGTTATTAAAGGGACAACTCGCCTGTCCTCTGACACAGCCAAAACAGCCTTGGTTTATATCTCTGTCTAGCAGCAGTGTCTCCCCCTGCCCCATTTTTAGCTTCGACTATATGCAGAGACTCTGATCCAGATCTTAAGACTCCCCTGATCCTCACAGTAGGGTCCCAGTCTGAAGCGGACACCTTGCACTACTGTAGAGGAAAGATGGAAAAAACTGTAGCTGCTGGGTAGGAATTTAAAGCAATGCTTGCTTCGCCCCTTGCATTCTGCTTTTGCCCCAGAACATGCCAAATGCATTTCCTGCAGCCTGCTAAATGCACCAAACCCACCCACTTCTTTTTGCAATGCTAGAAGGCAAGAGGTTGATCAAGCCCAGGCAGAGCTAAGATCGTGGCTGGGGAACTGCATTCAGCTCGATGGATCTAAGCCGAGCGGGTCTTTTGAAGCCTACGAATTGGGAAAGAAAAGCGAATGCAATCGCGTTGAACCCGGGGTGGTGGTCTTGGATTCAATCCATCCTTGTTTTCACGTATATATTGACACAAAGGTGGAGGGGACCAGTAGGCAGAACTTGGTGAATTCCTCCTTACATTACAGCCTCTGGTTGCTAACTGTTTTATTCATATCAGCTAAAGAGGCTGGGGATATGTCAATGGAAACATGTCAGCTTGTGATGCATTCAAGGCTAAAGAAAGAATTGTGCTTAATGCTTTAGAAGCAAACCCTTTACCTCTTCTGAAAGTTGGCCTTCACTCAGACCTATTACTGTTGTAGACTCCTTCTTTAAGGGTCCGTCCTCTAACCCTCCTTCAAACAAATCAGCTTCTGTGGTCTTCTTTAAAGTGTTGTTTGTGTCTCTCCCCCTTGTTTCATAAAAGCATTTTGTCTTACAATGCTATTGTTTACATTTTTATATATATTGTATAAAGATCTGATCGGTTGCTTTAACCCTAATGGTGAATTTGTATGTGACTGAGTGAGAGGCATAAATGATGGAGAGAAAGAAGAAGGAAAAAACAAACGCAAGGGAATGAACTCCTGTTCTCTTACTTTGTGCACAGATGTCTAAACTACAGCCAGAAAGGCTGCCAACTCTAGAAACAAGCCATTCTGGCCTGCTCGTCTGTCTTTAACAGGAGCACCATGGACAGCAGTTGGCAAAGTGCAGCTTTGGGGATGAAAGCATGATCACCCGCTTTGCATATCATGTCTGCACAGACCATGGAGGGTAGGTTTATCAAGGGTAATGAGGCATGATGGCCAGATGGAACCTCCATGGAACAAGGCACTGTATCTCTGAACACCCACTGCCAGAGAGCCAGCACAGGAGGGCTGTTGTCTTTGTGCCCTTCCTAGGAGCTTTCTGGGGGTGTCAAGCTGGCCAACATGGGAAGCAGGAAGCTGATCAAGAAGGACTTTGGCCCAGTTCAGCAACAGGGCTGCTCTCCATCTTTTCCATCTGTTGATCTAGGCTGGGCTGCGATGGCCAACTGAAAACCTGGGAAGCTTTATGGCTAGGTAGTTCTAGCTAGGTATGGTATGGTATACCTAGGTATGGCTAGGTATGGCTAGGTATGGTGGGGCATGGGGCAGCCCTGTATTCGAGTGAGGAACGCTTAGTAGAGGGAGCCATAGCAAGTGACCATTTTTTTACAAGGAGGTGTAATTTTGCTTTTTGCCAGATGCTAACTAGTAAGGTAACATAAATGAAAGATATAAAGGCAATAATTCTTGGTTTTTATGCGACTTTTTATTACTTGAAGAAAAAAATTAAAAAGCAACAATGCTGAAACAAGCTGACAACCGTTTTAAAGTGTAACCATTTGGAATGCTATTTATATATATTTTAAAGAGGATGATAATGACAACAAAGAGAGAAACTTGAAGTTTTCGCCATTTTAAAAGGAATTGTTTGCTTATTTTGCTTTTGTTTTGCCTAGCGATAGGTTCCTGAACATTTTTTTTAACCGAATCACAACTTTCCCTCCTTCCATTGCTCCTGGATAATAGCTTTACAATACCTACAATTTGCAGATTTTTTTTTAAGAAAAGAAGAAAAAGAACTAAAAGGAGTACATCTAGCTTCCTGTGAAAGGTACAAAGTCAATGAATTTATAGACTTTTTAAAAAATGTATCTTTCCTTTATGTAACATGTCTATTTAGTGCCTTATCAAGAAAAACAGTAAAACCTCCCTTTTTGAAAAAAGAAAAGAAAAATGGGGATAGCCAATCTTTACTAGTGAGAGGAACTTCCAGGGCGTGGTCACATCCCCTTCTATAGATCCCTGGATTTCAGTTTTAGCTAGTTACTTCCTTTTTGAGTTAAAGGGTGGGGGTACCACTTCTTTAAACCCCATGGCCCCTCTAAACCCATTTTGATGTGCCTAGCGATGTTAAGGTGCTTCTTCCCCATCTTTTGCCATCTGTTTCTGGGACTGTATGTAAGGTAACTTGAATACATTTTATGCACATATCCTACTCCAGTAGGTAAACTGGTGGATATTGTAATTGAGAATACCAACCAAAAGACAAACCGAAATATATCTGCTTCCCTCTTGAGCCAAAATTAATAATGTTGGGGGGGGGTATTGTTTGTTGTCATTGTCGTTATGATTTTTTCTTTGTTCTGTGGTTTTACTAGTGTGTTTGCTACACACACACACACACACACACACACACACACAGCTTACCTCAGTAGGTTTTGGGTGGAGTGTGCCTCGCATATCTAAAACTCTGCCAACCTTAGAGAATTGTCACCATGACTGGAGGTGGTTAAAAGTCACTGGAGTGCCTTGTATGAAGTGGGCGAACCTGGTAGGATTGCTACGGGGTTGGCAGAGTGGGCAGCAGACACCCTCCTGGAGGGCCCCCTGGCCCGGGACTTCTCCTTGGTGCCATGGCTGTACATCCGCCATCTCCAAGCACGCTGGCAGTGCTGCAGCAGCCCTTGCCCTCCCCGTTGGTGGACTGAGCCCAAAGGGATAGGGCAAGTGAATGGACAGAAGTGATAGCGATGGCAAGGAAAACGGGGTCCCACTGAAAGATGGCCACCCTTTAGGGCACATGGCCCAAGTCTCCCTCAAAAACTCAAGGGCTGGTATTGGCCTGCCAGCTTTGTCCTTGGGCCTGTGGTTCTTTAGGATAAGACGGACATGCAGCAGTAATGGCAGGAAAGAAGTGGGCCCCAGAATGCTTCGCGTGTCTCCTTCCCACATGTCAAGTTTCCATTAACTGGCAAAGAGCAAAGCCAGAAAAAGGGGTGACACCCCACCCAGCAAAGCAAGCTAGACATAAAAAAGTTTTTGGAGGTTTATCCTGGAGGACAAACCAAAACATCACCACTGTACTTTTCTCGATTATTAGTCCTCATCCGATAAGAGTGTTCACCTGCCCAAGAAAACCGTATGCTTGGAATGCCATTCATCTCTGCAAACCGTTTTTATCCATTTGTTGATTTACCAGTTCTGGTCATTGACTCCAGTATTGGTTTAAGCAGATAACCCCATTAACTGAGATCTCTCTTGAATGTGATGGTTTTGAAAGAGGTTGATTGTTCCATTCCAACTACTTGTTCTCATTAAGAAGCAAATAAATGTATGTTTATTCCTGTAAATTAGGAATGCATGCTTTGGCCAAAGCCTCCAAGAACTCAATGAGCCATCACATTTGGTCTAATGTTGCCACTTTTTAATCTGCCAGGGCTCCTGTACAGAAGCCAAAAATTCAGTAGCACACTTGGGAAGGAGGTGCTATTAGGCTGGGGTGCAGGGAAGCCTTTACCATTTGGATTCCTGCCTTCCTACACAGGAGCCATACTTGTCAGCCTTTTCCCAGGTGAGGCTATTGATGGCGCAGGAGCCCTGCTGGGTAGGAAAAAGGTGGCAGCCTTAATGAATTGTGCCAATGGGGATTCAGGCATTGGCCTCAACTACTCCAAGAGTCATTCTGCTATTTATTGGGTTTTCTCATGTAGTGTTTTTCACATTTGCTTACATGTTGCAATGAAAGGTTTTGCTATCTTTTTAATGTGAATATGTCACATAATTTTGCAGTGAGGTCTACAATGCACATAATGTCCTGGCCATTTAGACCAAACCGATGTGGCAGAGACAGGTGTGCCATTTCACAGGTGGTTACTGGATGGCTTTGTTCCCTGGCATTTCCAAGACCTTACCTCACCTTACCAGTTCCTTGTTTTTCAAAAATTCTGCTAGGAATCCCATTTACACTTATGGCACAAATGCACACATCTGTACTCTGGTGTGCAGTAGGTGGCATGTCATAAGTAATGCTCCAGGATTCTCTTCTTTAATGGAAATTGGTGGGACCATTCAGCTACAGTTTAAGCCCTCATTGACAAAAAGCAGACTGAATTACAGGCCTTCATTGATTAAACCAAACAGAACCACTCAACAAAATGTTTTGCCTCTGACTCAAGGACAGAGGCGATTAGCTCCTGAGGGAGACCAAATTAAAAGCAAAACTTAAGGAAAAGAAAGAAGGCAGCATTAACAGCTGTATCCATCTGTCTTTTGCTAGCTCTTTCGAGGAGCAGAGTAGCTTTAAAACAGCAAGGGAGTATGTTTGGTCTGCTCTTTGTAACACATCTTACAATAGAGAAGCGCATCCCTCAAAAGCATAATGTCCTTGAATGTGTAGATGGATTTGGAAACAATGGCAGGTTCTAACCATGCAAGGCTCCTTTTCATGATTCTTGCTTTCTGTGACTGGCATGGGGTTTTGATATCTGAACAGTTATTCATGTACAAATAAGGATGGAACGGTTGGCCATATATGGGGAGAAAGGACATCAGTGTCATTCTTGAGAACATCTTTCCTTCTAATATGTCTGAATCTCTCTAAAAATTGCACTAAAGGCTATATTTAATGGAAAGACCCAAGTCCACCATTTCCCCTCTTTTAAGAGTTGAATAAAAGAAGCCAGATGTGTGGCGTAAGCATAGAACCCAAGAACAGAATTAATGTGTTTTCTCCGATATGATCTGCGTGGCCCTCAGATATATTATCAATATACATTTATTTCCCTCCAACTAAAGGGGTTGGGAAGGAAAAAAAATAGAAGTTTTCCATAAACTGCGCTTTCAAAATTTTGCTGTAATATAGAAGCTCATGAAGGACTACATTTAAAGTCCCAATTTGCCTGCCTTCTAGCTACAATTCATTGTATTTTAATATTTTCTTCGATTTCCAGTTGCATTGCTTTGGGCTTTGGAGTTTGTTATAGGCAGTCCTGTATCCTGACTTTTTTGTGTTCAAATTTTTTAAAAATAAACCCTTATGTAAACAATAGGCAGCACACGCAATGCAGTACTTATCTATATTTTGCTGTTTTAGTAAGACTATGTACTCGGATGCCAAGTTCCACAACTCTGTTGTAAAACGCTTCTTGTGTAACAGTAACCAATTGTGGCAATGATATGTCATTCTATTCTTTAAAAGCTGCAATACTTAAAACAATAAATTTTACAATACTTTGGATCACTTGCCTTCACTTTTTGCTTTGATTAAAGCCCAAATTATTATATCTTGGGAATGCCAAGCCCAGTGTAGCATGTCTGGGGAATGCAATTTAGAAAAGGTAAAAGGAAATAATCTTTGCATACGTATTTATAGATACATATACACATTTATATATATGGTTAAGTATGTATACTTATCAGTTAAGTATATCTCTGTGTCCATCAAGTATGATTTAATTCCAAACTGCAGAGCACTTGAGTATCTTCTGAAGCTGTGGTCAACTAGTAAAGTCTGGTGAAAGTGACTATGAAAGAGATAAACGAAAATGATCAGTATTCCATCTTCACTATCTAGCTATCTCAAGTATTCTGTGTGAACTGAAGTCACAATTTATGCCGGACTGTGTGATTTCCACCCCTCTCTCCAATACTGGCAATTCACTCCTTGTGTATCTGCGTGCGTTTGTGTGTACGCACATGTGCACGTGAAGCAAGAGAAGAAACGTTGCCGATCCGCATTGTTGCATCAATATCTACAATGTGTTGCAATCCTGCCTTTCAGACAGGATAATCTGAGAGTCAGGAATTGTTGACTTGTGTCAGCTGTGAACGCTTTCAGATTTCAGAATCCTCTCTTTTCAGAAGTGTGGTCAATTTTCAACGATCACATTAAAATTATGATTGCAAAACTCAACTGTTTGTAGGGTGTTTGTCCATGGCCTCTTGAACTTTCCTTAAAGATAAGACCTGGGCAAAATGTGGCAGGTTTTCCAGCTTGAATGTAGTCTGGTGTGTAGCTGCTCTGAGAAAGGGAATTCTCGTAGCATGTTGCAGATCATTAGGAAAAAGCAGAAAATGAAGGGATCATACCATAATGCCTGTATACATGCTGGTGGAGTGGATCCACACTATATTGTTCATCACATTTCAGAAAGGATACGTGAAGCTACATAAAGGTCCTTTGGAATGCTCCAGGGGCCAGAACAACTACTGTGAGGAAAGGTTACAATATGCGGGGATTTTTGGCTTTAAAAAGACAGGTTATGAGGGAATATAGTGTAACTGAATAAAATTATGCCTGGGGTGGAGAAAGGAGAAAGGAGATAGCGTTGTTTTTAGCTCCAGGGAAGAGGGAGAGCTACCGCTGGGCCAAAATCCCCCAGTTTTCTGCAGGTCTTCTTCCCCCATGAAAGAGGGCTCTATAGTTGTCCCTTATTCTCAGAGGGTTTTATAATATATCTTTGTGGAGTGTGGGAGTCCATCGGATCATTGCAAAATGGCCAAGGCTGCTGTGTGGGGTGTTTTCTGCCTATTGTACATCTCCAGGCTGCCAGCACTTCCCAATCTGAAAAAAATGAAATATGCTGTCTTTCCCTGTGCTTTAATGTAAGTGTGGGAAGCAGAGGAGACTACCAGCTGCTGGAAAGACGATGGTTCAGTGAAAAGCAGGAGACTTGGGTGGCTTCCAGGAAGAACCCAGAGCTAAGCCATGAGAATGCCTCCCATGTTTTCTTCCCCAGTGAACTGAAATCTATTTCCTTTCAAATAGAGTGAGAATGGTAAAAGGATAATGCGGGATAAGTTTTCAGCACCGCACTAACTAGTTTCCTCTGCTTTAACCAGTCCTGCATTGATCTGAAAGATAAAACCATGGCTCTTCTTTTGGCTAACCATGATGAATTGAGAGGAGAACATGAGATCCTGCCGAGCACCGTGCTGACCCAGACCAGGAGTTCCTCTGGTCCAGAATTCTATGATGAGGTGGCCAACCAGCTCCCCACTGCAAACCTACAAGCAGGCCGTGGGTGCCACAGCACCCTCCTGCTCGTGCTCCCCAGCAACCAGTACTCAAAGTGTCCTTCCTTGATGCTCATGCGCATGCATATGAGAACCCATGGTTTGTTGTAAGGGTTGTACAATCCAGGATGGAGCACCATGTTGGCTAAACCTTGACTATTGGGTGGTATAAAAATGAAAAATAAACACACAAACAAACATAAATAAATGAAGCAATCCTGCCAGAGCAATTGTACTGTGGTTATGGGATCTGTTGGCAAGCCAGCCAACAAAAGCAGCAAAAAGTGCTTCCTGCTCTTTGCAAACCTGTCTGTGCCACCACCAGCCTCTTCACCGATGCCCAAGTGGCACTTTGAAGCAATTGCCACTGGCTTGACCCCTTTTTTCCTCTGACTCAGATGAGCACAAAAGTCTGCATTTCTGATTTTTCATCTCCCCATCCCCTCTTTCACAATTAGCAAGCGCGCTCTTCCAATATATGCATCCTTGCCCGGACAATGCCCTTGCCGATTTCAGGGAGGCTGTACACAGGCTGAAACAGGAACAGTTGACAGCTGTTAATTGCCTAGCTATCAAAACGGAAGCGTCAGCAAAGGAGGAGAAAGTGGTACACCAAAAGGGGGCGGACAGATCTTCCCTTTTGAATGTGGCCCTGTGCATTTCTAGTGTTGAACTGATCCTTCTCAGAGCACTTTTCAGCACTTGGCCAGGTCTCCTGCTAGGGGAAATCTTGGTCCATGGCCACCTTTTTCACGGCTCTTTTTTGGACCCATTACTGTAGCTCCTTGGCAGAGGTCAAAAGCCTTGAGAAGGTAACTGAATGGAGCCCCACTGTGGGGCACCCCCTTTGTTCTGCCCATTCTGCCACCTCTAAGGAGAGAGAGTGTGTGTGTTTTAAACTCTCTTGGAAGCACGTACCTTTCTTTTCCCTTTTTGCACAGGGATTTCTATACAGATTTCAAAACTGGAAAGTAAATTGGGAGAGGGAGCACTCAATTGTTTGCCCTCCATTCATTTCCCAGCCATGAGATGAGCATATATTACCCAGTCTGCAAATCTGACAGACTGAGAAATATACTCAGATCTCACAGCTGGAAGTACATGGTGTTGCACTGTATTTCAGGTGTTTAACTCTATGTGCTCCCCACCCTGTGCCATGTGAAAAAGGGGGGGGGGGAATACATGTAATATATAAGCATATAAACAACAATACATTTCTGGCAGACTACCCTTTCCTCGCAGCTAGTCATGAGCTTCACATTGCCACCCACCTTTCTTTTTTCTGGAGCAATCAACTGCTGCCAATATTACATGGTGCTATTGCAGCATATCACAATACGTAAACCCAAATCTCACAAATAATCAGTTTTCAATCCTTGACTCAGATTCCAAGGCCCAAACCAGATCAAAGGAACAACACCTGGCAGGAGACCGCGCCCGCGCCCGAGAACCACACCGCGCCCAAAGACCGCGCCGCGCACACGCCCAAAGACCGCGCCGCGCACGCGCCCGAAGACCGCGTGAAGACTGCGCCGCGCCGCCGGCTCCGCCGCTACCTGACTGCCCTGCCACGCCCCTGCACACGTGGCAGGTGTGCCCGGACGGGGTGGGGCGTCGGGTGGCCGGCGGCTACAAAGTGCTGCAGGGGGGAGCGCCGGCAGGAGGAACAACACCTGGCAGGAGACCGCGCCCGCGCCCGAGAACCGCACCGCGCCCAAAGACCGCGCCGCGCACGCGCCCGAAGACCGCGCCGCGCACGCGCCCGAAGACCGCGCCGCGCACGCACCCGAAGACCGCGCCGCGCACGCGCCCGAAGACCGCACGAAGACCGCGCCGCACCGCCGACTCTGCCGCTACCTGACTGCCCTGCCACGCCCCTGCACACGTGGCAGGTGTGCCCGGACGGGGTGGGGCGTCGGGTGGCCGGCGGCTACAAAGTGCTGCAGGGGGGAGCGCCGGCAGGAGGAACAACACCTGGCAGGAGACCGCGCCCGCGCCCGAGAACCGCACCGCGCCCAAAGACCGCGCCGCGCACGCGCCCGAAGACCGCGCCGCGCACGCGCCCGAAGACCGCACGAAGACCGCGCCGCACCGCCGACTCTGCCGCTACCTGACTGCCCTGCCACGCCCCTGCACACGTGGCAGGCGTGCCCGGACGGGGTGGGGCGTCGGGCGGCCGGCGGCTACAAAGCACCAGCAGCGGCCGGGGCCGGCGGCCAAAGGGCGTCGGCCAAAGGGCGGTTTGCCGCCGTTTGGGGGGGCTGTTCGGGGGGGGGCTAGGCTGGCCAGGGGACTTGCTCTTTTGTTGTGGCAGTCCCTTCTGTTGAACGGCCAATTTTAAATGTTTTATAATTTTAAAGTGTTTTAACTTGTTTTTATGGAGTCGTCCCTGGCCATGTTGCCGCCTGAGTTTCCTGGGGAGCGCACTGGCGCCGCCATTGGTGTGGTGATGGGCAATGGACGTAATAGCGGTGGGGGCTTAACGTGTCCGCATAGAAGAAGGAGGGACAGATGGCTGACACCTGTCCCTACTTCTGGTTTTGCTCCCAGCCAGAAGGTGCCAGGGAGTCTTGTCAGTCGCCCCTCGGGCCTGACGGTGCTGTTGTTTAATGCCAGGTCGGCCAATAACAAATCTGCCCTCATCCATGACTTGATTGTGGATGAGGGGGCCGACCTGGCCTGTATAACGGAGACCTGGGCGGGAGAGGGGGGGGATGTTGCCCTCTCTCAATTGTGCCCGCCCGGGTATATGGTCCAGCACTGTTCACGGCCGGAGGGGAGGGGAGGGGGGGTCGCTTTGGTTTACCGGGCCTCCATCACTCTCACGGGACTTCCTGTCCCTTCGAGACCAGGGCTGGAGTGTTTCTACTTGGTGTTGGGCGACCGAGACAGATTGGGGATTCTGTTGGTGTACCGTGCACCCTTCTGCCCAACAGTCTCCCTGCCTGAGCTGACGGAAACGGTCTCGGACCTGGTGTTGAGGACCCCCAGGATGCTGGTCCTGGGGGACTTCAATATCCATGCCGAGGCTAGTTTGACCGGGGCGGCTCAGGACTTCATGGCTTCCATGACGGCCATGGGGCTGTCTCAACATGTCACCGGCCCGACCCATGAACGTGGACACACTCTGGACCTGGTTTTCTCGACGGGGCAGGAAGAGGGTGGTCTGAGGGTGAGGAATTTATGCTTGACTCCCCTGTCATGGTCAGATCACTTCCTAGT